ACTGGCTACTAATGTGCGTGTTTACTTACTAGCCAGTTTCCAATTCCGCTATATGACTTCAACTGGCTACTAATGTGCGTGTTTACTTACTAGCCAGCTTCCAATTCCGCTATATGACTTCAACTGGCTACTAATGTGCGTGTTTACTTACTAGCCAGCTTCCAATTCCGTTATATGACTTCAACTGGCTACTTGTGCAGAGTAGGAAGAAAAAAGACGGCCACATGGGACAAAGAGAAGGTCAAGAACAATACCTGCCCACAAAGGACACGACCAAATACAAGACTAATAAAACTAGCTACTCTTAAATCATACCAAGATTCTGGGGCGCCACCCCACGGTCCTCGGATTATTTACGTCAACAATCATTCCCATTAAACATATTATTCAAAGTGATGATTCTCAATTCATTATAACTTGAAAAAGTCTCTGATTATTCATTGAAACTAGTTTAGCCAATTCCACGAGAATATGATAAAGAAACAGGGCTAAGCAACTGTAAAACTAGCGAACAATCTTGCAGTATCTAAACTGTTTAGAGGTACAGGATTAAGAAAGTTTACTAGATCCAGTTTACTAGGGATGTCGCTAACTATATGCAAAACACATGAAATAAAATGTAGAAAAATCACTTGTATATACCTAAATAAAAATATATTACCAAACACTTTGAAATTGCTATATTCGTAATCTAATTTGTGTCTTGGGTTAATTTCATATATATATATATCAACTATTTATTTTCCGTAACAATGTTTTATTAACACTAATAATGTACAGCCAACTTAATCTACTCTATATATCCCACGTAATAATGTTTTATTTACACTAATAATGTACAGCCAGCTTAATCTACTCTATATATCCCACGTAATAATGTTTTATTAACACTAATAATGTACAGCCAGCTTGGTCTACCCTATATATCCCACGTAATAATGTTTTATTAACACTAATAATGTACAGCCAGCTTGGTCTACCCTATATATCCCACGTAATAATGTTTTATTAACACTAATAATGTACAGCCAACT